TTGAATTCAACACGGCTAAATTAATAACTAGAATGATTTTAAGTGGTAACTATATAGTAATGTACTATCATAGTAATGTTACGTACAGTCCAGACTAAAATGGTAGCGAACAACTACAAGTACTTATCTCTGAGGTAGAAAAAAATATTTTTCAGGTCCAATATGTCTGTGGTGTTAGCGGGAGATATTAGCCTAGTCATCTATCCTGAATCTTGTTTCTGGATGACTGGACTAACCTAAAATGACCAATAATGGAACAACAAAATGGAGTTTAACATCCAACTATGTGGAATAAGCAGTAAAGTGTAATGTGGTGTGTACAGTAAGTATAATACATAGAATACGAAAGATATGAAAGAGCTAAGGTTTGAAAAGTAGGCCTAATTTATTGTATAAACAGTAACAATCTTTCAAAATATGTCTTTGTGTCCTTTATAGGCAGGAGTGAGTGATGTCAGGAAGACGGTGCCAATTCTAAACTTTTCAAAACTGGCTTTTTGCTAGCCCCAAGACTCTCTGCCTGTGTGTTGGGGTTTACCCCAGTGGACGAGAGGGTAGCTACCCTGTGCCTTCGGGTCGGGGAACGGGTCCTGACTGTAGTTTGCGCTTATGGGCTAAATACCAGTTAGAGTACCCACCCTTTTTGAAATCCCTGGGACGAGTGCTAGATAGTGCTCCATCAGGGGACTCCATTGTCCTGCTGGGGGACTTCAATGCTCACCTGGGCAATGACAACATGACATGGAGGGCTGTGATTGGGAGGGACGGCCCGCCTGATCTGAACTCGAGTGGTGTTTCATTATTGGACTTCTGTGCAAGCCGCAGTTTGGCCATAATGAACACCATGTTCGAACATAAGGATGCCCATCGGTACACTTGGTACCAGGGCAGCCTAGGTCACAAGTCGATGATAGACTTTGTAGTCTTATCATCTGACCTACGGCCGTATGTTTTGGATACCCGAGTGAAGAGAGGAGCGGAGCTGTCAACTGATCACCACCTGGTTGTGAGTTGGATCAGATGGCAGGGGAAGATGCTGCGTAGACCTGGCAGACCCAAACGCATAGTGAGGGTCTGCTGGGAACGCCTGGCAGAAGACCCTGTCAAGACGGTCTTCAACTCCCACCTCCGGCAGAGCTTTGACCGTGTCCCGAGAGCAGTGGGGGACATTGACTCCGAGCGGGCCTTCTTCCACTCTGCGATTGTTGAGGCGGCTGTTGCTAGCTGTGGTCGCAAGGTGGCCAGTGCCAGTTGTGGTGGTAACCCCCGTACCCGCTGGTGGACACCAGAGTTTCGGGGAGCCGTCAGGCTGAAGAAGGAGGCCTACAAGTCGTGGCTGGTCTGTGGGTCTCCGGAGGCAGCAGATAGGTACCGGATATCCAAGCGGGGTGCAGCAGTGGCAGTTGCCAAGGCAAAATCTCGGGCGTGGGAGGAGTTTGGTCAGGCCATGGAGAAAGACTATCGATCGGCTCCAAAGAGGTTCTGGCAAACTGTCCGACGCCTCAGGAGAGGAAGACAGCAACTCGCTCACACTGTTTACAGTGGGGATGGGGAGCTGCTGACATCAACTGGGACTATGGTCGGACGGTGGAAGGAATACTTTGAGGAGCTCCTCAATCCCACCTACGCGCATTCCGAGGAGGAACCAGAGCCAGGAGACATGGGGATGGACTGTCCAATCTTGGGGGCAGAAGTTGCTGAGGTAGTCAAACAACTACACAGCGGCAGAGCCCCAGGGGTGGATGAGATTCATCCTGGGTATCTCAAGGCTATGGATGTTGTAGGACTGTCATGGTTGACATGTCTCTGCAACATTGCGTGGTCATCGGGGGCAGTTCCTGTGGAGTGGCAGACTGGGGTGGTGGCCCCCATCTTTTAGAAGGGTGACCAGAGGGTGTGTTCCAACTATAGGGGGATCACACTCCTCAGCCTCCCTGGAAAAGTACTGGAGAGGAGGGTCCGATCGATATTCGAATCTCAGATTGAGGAGGAGCAATGTGGTTTTCGTCCTGGCCGTGGAACTGTGGACCAGCTCTATACCCTTGCAAGGGTGATGGAGGGGCATGGGAGTTTGCCCAACCAATCCACATGTGTTTTGTGGATTTGGAGAAGGTTTATGACTGTGTCCCCAGGGGCACTCTGTGGGGGACGCTCCAGGAGTATGAGGTGGGTGGCTTTCTGTTAAGGACCATTCAGTCCCTTTACCAGAGGAGCGTGAGTTTGGTCCGCATAGCCGGTAGTAAGTTGGACCTGTTCCCGATGAGGGTTGGACTCCGCCAGGGCTGCCCTTTGTCACGGTTCTGTTCATTACCTTTATGGACAGAATTTCTAGGCGCAGCCGTGGTGTGGAGTGTGTCGAGTTTGATGGCAGGAGAATCTTGTCTTTGCTTTTTGTGGATGATGTGGTCCTCCTAGCTTCATCCAGCTCTGACCTTCAGCTCTTGCTGGGTAGGTTCGCGGCCGAGTGTGAAGCGGCTGGGATGAGGATCAGCACCTCCAAATCTGAGACCATGGTTCTCGACCGGCAAAGGGTGGCTTGCGAACTCCGGGTCGGGAGAGAGGTCCTACCTCAAGTGGAGGAGTTTAAGTATTTCAGGGTTTTGTTCACGAGTGAGGGTGGGAGGGATCGGGAGATCGACAGGCGGGTTGGTTCGGCATCTGCAGTGCTGCGGACGTTGAGCCGATCTGTCGTGGTGAAGAGGGAGCTGAGCCAGAAAGCCAGGCTCTCGATTTACTGGTCAATCTACGTCCCAATCCTCACCTATGGTCATGAGCTTTGGGTAATGACCGAAAGAACAAGATTGCGGATACAAGCGACCGAAATGAGTTTCCTCCATAGGGTGGCCGGGCTCAGCCTTAGAGATAGGGTGAGGAGCTCGGACATTCGGGAGGGACTCTGAGTAGAACCGCTGCTCCTCCAGATCGAAAGGAGTCAGTTGAGGTGGTTTGGGCATCTGGTCAGGATGCCCCCTGGACGCCTCCCTGGGGAGGTGTTTCGGGCATGTCCTGCCGGCAGGAGGCCCCCGGGTCGACCCAGGACACGTTGGAGAGGTTGCATCTCCAATCTGGTCCGGGAACGCCTTGGGGTCCTGGTGGAGGTGGCTGGGGAGAGGGCGGTCTGGAGCTCCCTAGTTGGGATGCTGCCCCTGCGACCCAGACCCGGATAAGCAGAGGAAGACGACGACGATTTCATTCAGCACAGTGGATTAACCTGGTTCAGTTGCTGAGCAGAACAAAAACAGGACATGGAGATGACTTGATGATGCCACAATGTCACACCTCTGGTATGAACTAAAGTAGAGAATAACTTCTGTTTTAGTTGTGTTGCATTGTAAGTAGAGGAAAGCAGGTGGGTTTGTGAAAGACAAAAATCTTTCCACAACTATATTGTCAAAATAACGGTGTGGGTAGGTACAATATCATATCTGTTTCTAAATATATCGGGATATCGGCAAACCGCAGTTATGATAACTTGACTTGTACACTGAAAAAGTCTTGAAAATGTCCTGGAAAAGTCCTGGAAAATTATTTCAAGAAAAGAGTGGGAACCCTGAAATTAAATCACTGCCTCAGTGTTTTTATTGCAGTGCCACTGTGTTATGGGTAAAGTGAGTTGCCATAGTTGCAGTGCTCTCCTAACATGAGCTCCAGGAAGGCTCACGCCAGACCAGATCACAGATCAAAAACCAACAACCTGAAAAATGTCAGTGTTGGTGAATCTGTTAAGCATCTCATAAACCTTTGGATCAGTCTCTTATTGCGTGATTATTTTGCTGTTTATCAAGTAAGTTCAAGTAAGAAAACTGGAATTTGATATTTATTGTTATGTTCAGAGAAGACTAACTATTGTGTTAACCAGTGTTCATTTAGGCAAAAATTGGACTTTAGTTTTAGTATTTTTACTAAAATTCTTTTGAACATAGTCATCCAATTTGTTTGCATTTTAGACTTATTTTAGTTGAATAAAATATATGTATTTTTCTTTTGATGAAATAATTTTTACTTCTGCAAAGGAAATGTTAACTACACCCATAATAATAATAATAACAATTATTATTATTATTATTATTATAGAAGTAGCATGGTACTGTAATGGATCTAATGAGACAGACAGACAGATAAAAGCAAAAACAAATATTTTACTACTACAAGCAGTCACCAATTTTCATGTAAGGAAGTCGTGTTGGACTTCCTTTGGTCATTGTCAAATATGTCTAATAACTGAGTTGACATCGCATCCATCCATCCATTTTCGGCTGCTTATCTGGTATCGGGTCGCGGGGGCAGTAGCCTAAGCAGAGACGTGCCCAGAAAACCTCACCAGGGAGGTGTCCAGGCATCCTAATCTGTAGAGTTGGGCATCGAGCATCGATTGGAACCGGGACCAACTGTTAGTTTTTCCCGGAATCATTCAAAGTTTTTTTTATTTCGATTCCTAGTTTCGATTCCGCATATGCCGACCGGAAGAGGAATCCGTGGCCAATCTCCGTGAAAAATAAATGTGATCTGCAAATTGTGATCAACCTTTTTCACCAGCTGTCTGTGTGCAGCATGAGTCCCCCCTCCCCCACCCGGCACGCAGTGGCCAAATATAAGCAACTCATCTGCCGAACTTTTACTACGTAATGTAAACTTTAATTCCTGCACAGGAAACGTGCTCAAATATGTCAACACTGTGGATTTAATAGAAGCTTTAAAGAACAAACTCTGGACGGTGTGAGGTGAGTTCATCTCACTGCAGAAATGAAAGCAAAAACGGAGCGTCAGCAGTCAGACGCAGCCGCTTACCAACACTCGTGTGTGTGTGTGTGTGTGTGTGTGTGTGTGTGTGTGTGTGTGTGTGTGTGTGTGTGTGTGTGTGAGCAGAACAATAACCTGTAGAATAATTAAAGTCATCATGCTAGAGCAGCTTCTCTGTGGTGGACCACACCAGCTTCTGTCACAATAAATATTAATAACAATATTAATAATAATAATAATAAATCACACACAAAGTTGGGATGAGAATCAGCTCCTCTAAATCTGAGACCATGGTCTTGATTCGGAAAAGGGTAGAATGCCTTCTCCGGGTCGGGGATGAGGTCCTTCCCCAAGTGGAGGAGTTTAAGTATCTCAGGGTCTTGTTCACGAGTGAGGGAAAACTGGAGTGTGAGATCGATAGGTGGATTGGTGCTGCATCTGCAGTGATGCGGGTGTTGTACCGGTCTGTCATGGTGAAGAGAGAGCTGAGTCAGAAGGTGAAGCTCTCGATTTACCGGTCGATCTACGTTCCTACCCTCACCTATGGTCATGAGCTTTGGGTAGTGACCGATAGAATGAGATCACGGATACAAGCGGCAGAAATGAGTTTTCTCCGAAGAGTGGCTGGGCTCTCCCTTAGAGATAGGGTGAGAAGCTCGGTCATTCGGGAGGGGCTTGGAGTAGACCCGCTGCTCCTCCACATCGAGAGGAGCCAGTTGAGGTGGCTCGGGCATCTGGTCAGGATGCCTCCTGGACGCCTCCCTGGTGAGGTTTTCCGGGCAGGTCCAACCGGGAGGAGACCTAAAGGTAGACCCAGGACACGGTGGAGGGACTATGCCTTTCACCTGGCCAGGGAACGCCTTGGGATTCCCCCGGAGGAGCTGGCCCAAGTGGCTGGGGAGAGGGAAGTATGGGCCTCTCGCCTTAGGCTACTGTCCCCGCGACCCGACTCCAGATAAGCGGATGAAAATGGATGGATGGATGGATGGAAGTTGTGAACATTTAAATTTCCTTTTTAAACTATTTCTGTTGAGTTTTAATGTTTAAATCTGTTAGATTGTTACTGACAGCAGCTACATTAAAGTTTCACTTCCTGTTGTGACTGAACGCTGCTGCAGCATGGAGGTGTAGTTCTCAGTCATCCTGGACATGATCATCCTGAGAGTTTTAGCTGAAAACAGCTGGACGTTTCTGGATATGTTGGAGACATTTAGCCTCTCATCCCAGAGGCTTCTTCCAGACTTTGGTTGTGGTCAGAAACAAACACACTGGTTGTGCTGCAAGTCTTTTTCTTTTTTTCTCCAAAACACGTTTTTGTCTAAATGAAGGTGATGATGTTGTTCATAGACTAAAAATTCACGTTGAAGTTAAGATTATTTCATCATGTAGGACCTGTGGTTAGCTGGCTCATGTAAAACATGTCATGTCTTCAAAGAAGAATTGATAGGAACCGGAATCGAAACGAGGAATTGGAATCAGAATCGGTATCGTTCAAAATCAAACGATGCCCAACCCTAATAATCTGTATTTTTCCCAGAGTGAGATAATTCAAAGAGCCATTTACAACATATTATTTGTTCACAATTATCTTGCAGAACCTACATAAGATCTGAAATATGTCTTCATCCAGATTGCCATTAACCATTCCATATATTATAGTATATAAATGCCATTCTATTTAGTTAATAATTGTGTGTATTCATTTCTTCAGAGCATCTATAGCTGTACAGCTGGTCTGTAGATGGAAGAATCTTGCAGCTGCTGCTGTTTTGCCCCCCTGCACAGTCAGTATACATGAGGTCATCGTAGCAGAAGATCCTTGGGGAGAGATGTGGATATCTGTGTGTGTGTGTGTGTGTGTGTGTGTGTGTGTGTGTGTGTGTGTGTGTGTGTGTGTGTGTGTGTGTGTGTGTGTGTGTGTGTGTGTGTGTGTGTGTGTGTGTGTGTGTGTGTGTGTGTGTGAGTGAGTGAGAACTGCTGACTCTGAGCCTCTTTAGAACAGATGGTTCAAAGTTATAAAGCAGTGTTGCGGTTTATCCCTCGCATCCATGATGGTTTTGCAGCGCTGTAGTGTTCTGGTTTGTTTCTGACTGCAGGTTCAGATTAACACGCATCGGGAGAAAACAGAAGGCTGAAAGTTGCTGCATAGCTTACAAATTACCAACCCTTTCTTTATATATCCTTGTCCTTGTGAAGGAATAATGTCCCAACAGGTTTTGATTGGAACCAAGAAAACCTCAGGCAAACACGGTTTTAACGGGTCAAAATGCAAAAACACACAAACTTTTCTTCTTGCTTTCTCCTGGTAACGATCCTTTGTTTCTTCCCAAACAATAGCTATGAGCAGAAAGTCTGAGTGTTTCCATGCATGTATTTTATCCACTAAAATTTATTCTGCATCCTTTTACAAATTGGTTTTCACTTAAATTAGCTTGAAACTAAATTGAACTCCTAGAATAGAAAATGAATCCTATCATTGTAATTCACACCAAACTTGCACTTCTTCTGCAAGCTCCTAGGTAATAAAAACTTTTTCTGAGCTTGTAAAACCTGCATGCATCAAGCATACACAACAGCTCAGGACAAATGTGTGTGAAAGGCTAAATTCTTTGGGTAAACAAGACAAAATCATTAAGCTGTGGTGGGCAATTTCTGAGAAGTAAATGAAGATGTGATTAATTCAAGCATCTCGGTTGCTGCACTTGTGTGATTACCAGTGTGCTATGAATCATCCACTGTACCACTCCGCACATTCAGTCTACTCCAGCTGAACTACAGGAGGGAAATTTTCTAATTAACTGTGGGTTAATTGTTGGAGCGGTTTATGTCACAACAGGATGTGCATCATATGGGTTTGCATTTTACAATAACTTTAACAAAATTTGATAAAGCTCTGTCATGCTTTTTTTTATTTTCACTGTGACTCATTTGTGGCATTATTGCCTGTAAGCCACCACAGGGGTGTTAATTTGTGAGTGTACACAATAAAATAAAGGGACTCAGAAAACAGCATGAAACTGTAAGGATTAAGCCATGAAGCAGGAATGCTTTGTTCATATGGATGTTTGAGTGAGATACTTTTGCAATTAATATAAGTCCATTTTAGAGCTGAAACAGTTATCAGCTTTAAAAGGACACTAGGCAGTTTTGGCTTGCTTTTAGCACCCTGTAGTGTTCATTTATAGAACCAAAAGCCAAACTTGTCTCCTTGCTGTGCGTTTCTCTTCTTACACCTTAATCTAACAGCTGGAATGTCTCCTCAGCCTTCATTAGTGTCTACAGGAGTGATTCAACACTAAATCAAACAAATCCTCAGTTTATGATCTAAAACATGCAGGAAATGTGCTGCAAGCAGACTGCAGCACCAGGTATGTCAGCTCAAGCACATAACCCAAAGTCCAGCAGACCGGACCGTGAGGGTCTGTGTGACATTTCATTAACACTGTAAAGCTGGGCTATTCAATTCCAGTCCTGAAGGGCCGGTATCCAGCATGTTTAAGTGGTTTCTCTGCTCCAACACACCTGATTCAGTGGTCGAATCGCCTGTGCAGCAGCTCATCAAGCTCTGCAGAAGCCTGCTGGTTGAAATCAGGTGTGTGGAAAAAGGTTGAAAACTAAAATAAGCTGGACATCGGCCTTCCAGGCTCAGCATTGCATACCCCTGCAATAAAGGGTCACTTTAGGACATACTGGTTCAAGAAAATGGTTTAAAAATATGAAAAAGTTGCCAAGTCTCCCTTTAATGGTTATCTTGGTGAATTTTGTGATTGTACTTCATTGTTTAAAAGGAAAGCTTTTTAAAATAATATCGTCATCTGCACAATAAGAGGGGAAAACCGATGTTATGAAGCATGGATCTAACAGCTTAGTTACATCTCCTCACTACATCAGGCCCAATCCCAATGTTCACATTTCTACACTTGCGCCCTTTGACCGTGCCCCTTTTGCACCATTGATCTGCACTTCACTTAAGTCTGCATCGATGCAGACTTCGGCAGAGGGTATCACCCACAATCCGTTGCTGCAAGGGCAAAGGCTGAAGTGCCTTTACTGAAACTGCATTGTGGTCGATGTCACAATGCTCCCTGTCCCAGTTTGGCTATTCTTTGCACACTTGTGTACTATGGACTCGAAGCCTGACTGCACACTTCCTCCAAGTGCACTTCACAGAAGACCTTATGACACAGTGTGAGTATTGGGATTGGGCCTCACAGTTTAAAACAGAGAAGGAGGATTTAGCCTATTTTAAGTGGCCAAGACTGTAACAGACAAAGACAATGCTGTTGGACTTCATCGCTAAAGTAAAAAGTGAATGTAAAGTAATTTTTTCTCCTGTTTCTTTAAATAATGGACAATACTCCATTCAAAACCAGCTTCCACAGACAATAACTTGCAATTTACCTCCCACTAAGTTAAAAAAAAAATTCAGTTTGTTGCTCAGCATGATTGTTGGAGCTTTTATACATTTTTAATAATTTAGTTTTTTTTCCTCCACTTGCTTCCCTAGTCTGTGTTCTTAGACATGCATGGTTATTATCCATCCTTTTCATTCGATAAAGATAAAAATAACATCTAAATGAAACAAGTATAAGATTAACCTTTGAGAGACCAAACTAAAATCCAATGGCCCCTGCATCAAATACACACAGTAAAGATGTCTTGTTGAAGTAAAACATTTCCATTCAGTTCAGTTTATTTATATCGGGCCAAATCAAAAAAGTCGTCTCAAGTCACTCTGCAAAGTAAACATTCTAATAGAACCTACTTATCAGAGCACTGAGTTCAGTTCATTATTCTAATTATTTCATAGTTTTCCCAGCAGATTGCGTCAAGTCAGTGACTTGTTGTGTCAGAGACTTGAATGCAATCCTCATACTAAGCAAGCATGTAGAGACAGTGGAGAGGAAATCTCCCTTTTAACAGAAGAAACCTCCAACAGAACCTGGATCAGTGTGAGCAGCCATCCACTGTGACTCACTGGGGGTTTGAAAAGCTGTAGCAGAAACACACCCGCACACATTTGTACCAACTAGTGCTTCTAGAGCTGTATGCATTGCAATTTCTGAACAAATTAAACTATCGTCTTTATCTGAGTGAATTAGTAATAAATTCAACAGATGAACTAGTAGTAGCATTTTCCATGTTAGAGAAAGTAAAAAGAGAGAGAGAATATTTAGTGGTTTGCAGCCGATGGCCCCTTCCATGAGGCTATGACAGCTCAGCAGAACACCGTTGTAGCTTCTTCTGGGGAGAAAAACACTTAAAGAAAACATCGTTAACAGTTGAAATAACAGGAAATATTTCAGGTGTAGAGTAGTGGTAGAAGAAAGTAGCAAAGTGTGGAAAGTGGCCAGTATGTCCTTCAGGAGTCTAAACCTAACAATAGAGATAACTCGGGATAATTTGTACATCACAATAGTGATGAAAGTTTAGTTATGTGGGACTGGATGTTTGTGCCAGATGGGCTGGTCTGGGTATTTCAGAAACTAGGATTGTCACCCTCAACTTTCTCTTTGGTTTCTGAAAAATAGAAAATATCCAGTGAGCAGCTGTAGTACAGACAAAAAATGCCTTGTTAAATGGTAAATGACCTGTATTTGTATAACGCCTTCTTAGGGTTCTACACCCCCCATGAAAGCCTTTAAACATAAAAAAATATATTAATTTAAATTCCATTAGTAATAATTCAGTGGAGAGGAGTCTGGGTTAAAAACTGACAGGCGTTTCTGACATTAGTCTTTATTAGCGGACTTACTGAGGAATAAAGCAGCACAGCAGACATCGAGAGGAATGATGTGAGTGGTGGAGTGAAGGACGACTAATTAAATTTCACAAACCGATGGCAAATGTGAATGGACTGATGAAATCCTGTTGTAATTCTATTGCATTCCAGTACCACAGAGAAACAATCACCAGTGAGCATGGACTGGGTTTGTGAAATACACAAGAAAGAAGTTACATCCGTCTCCAAACCAATTACAGATGCTGAGACTGATACCAGAACTGATGGAAGTAAACAACTAGCCCACTGATAGATATGTGTTTGGATGCATTAAGTGTTTAAATTTAAGTATAGTGACAATAAAACGTCAAAAAGATCAAAACAGTCATAATAAAGAACCATTTAGAAATGAGATGCATTTTAGTTACAGTGTAAATTGACGATATTCTGATCAGACTGGAAAAAAATCAGACTGATCTGCATACATATTTTAGTGAATTATCACAATATGATTAGCTAAACATAACCAATGAAGAAATCCTATTAACCTAATGAAGGTTTTTTCTTTTTTTGCAACAAAGTAAAATCAGGTCACTCAATAAGTGCATAAAAGACGATAATTATCACAAGTGAAACTAATAGTTTTTGCCGTTTCCTTTAGAAACCATTAATACCATTGAGTTGTCTCTGATCCTTCTGGATTTTGTTCCTGAACCTGATGATGGCAAATGCAAAGTGAAACGCTGAATAATGACTTCTGAGGCAGAAGATTGGTAGGCACCAGGGTGCAATGGAATACTTTTACATGTCAGAGTTGAGTGCAGGAAAGCAGGCGACAATATTTACATCCAATCACTAATGTTATCTGGAAGAGGGTGCTTTATAAACCCCTCACCAAGGTTCTAACAAACCCATGACTTGTGTGTATTGTTGCATCTGCTTTTACCCACCTTCCCTGGCTGTACATTGTCCCTGTATCCCTTTCTGTGGCTAAGTGGTACCCAGGTATTTCCCAAAGTCCGAAAACATGCATGCTACATTATTTGGGGATGCTAGTGTGACCTCAGATGTCAGTTTGCACATGAACAGGTATCTGTATTTACATAACCCTGTGATGGACTAGTGTCCTGTTCAGGGGAAATGCTTTCTTTTCTGAATTTCCTAACTTTTAAATTCAACATTACAAACAATGTGGAGATGATCTGTCTTCTATTAAATGCCTTCATCTCTTACCTTGATTTAAAGCCTCCAGCTGCAGGGAACAACTCCAACTTTACTATAAAAGCCTGGAAGAATGGGAGGTACTAAAACTGGGAGTGTAATTGGGACACTGGCTCTGACAGAAAGTGGGGTCACTCAAGGTCACTTTCTGCTCTTTTCATTCCAGAGAACGCCTGCAAGGTGAGCCGCACGGCTGAGGAAGCACAGCAGACAGTTAAAATTGCTGCCACTTTCGCAAGTCAAAGTGCTTGTAACCCATGTAGAGAGCACAGTCAGAATCACAGGAAGGGAAGACAGGTGGAGTATTATTACTGAACGGGGATCTCTTGGCCTCTTGTTTTTTCTGATGTGTTGTGCTCAGGGAGACTTCCACTTCACAGCAACAAAATGTCAGGAGGAAAAAACTAAAGCCACTGTAAGCGTGAAGCTAATTTGGTCACACTTTTGTGCTAGTCAGGACTCCAAATCAACATTTCCATCAGAAATGGCTGAAACTAAATGTAAACATAATTTAGGATTTTTACCACATCTTTTTTGTTTGTTTGATTGATTATCTATCCTGGCTGCATTTCTTGTTAAAATAATAATTGTGTCTACACACAAAGTAAACTTTAATCAATTTGGTGGAGAAATTATGCATATATGGTAATATTGTGCATATTTCATTTTTTCTCTGACAGAGAAAGGGGCTTTCTCGGTTCCAGGGCCGGCTTTGCAGACAGGCGACACAGGCGGCCGCCTGGGGCACCATCTGATGGATAGGGCGCAAAATAAAAAAAAATAAAAAAAAAAGTTGATTAAATGTATGTTTGTAATATGAAATGCACTCTCTACATACTCAAAATTTCACTCTGCTCTGAAATTACATGAAATTAAAACATCAATATTTAAATTCTAATGATCTGGCTGCATGACGAGCTCCTGCTTGGGCCACCGCTCCGAAGCATTTGACCGTTAAGGGTGCCGTAGATCAAGTGCATGGTTGGCGCTGTAGAAGGACATCGTGTTGTCAATGTCATCGCGTTTAAACGTTTGATATTTTACGATGAAAAGAACACCTAAGCCATCAGGATCAGCATTCCGAAAGCGACGGAAGGAGGAAGAAAAAAAAACGGGCCCAAAGCAGAGGTATGTAGACTTTATAAATTTGGCAAAGGAACTTTTTGCTTTAGCATTGTAGCTAACTGCCTCTCCTGCCACACACGGTCCACGGACGGACCCTCGCTAGCTGTTTACATACACAACACAGTATCTCATAACTTTAACCAATTCATTTTACTTTTGAATCGTCATGTCCAGATGCAGTGAGACAATATCTGCAGCCACGACAGGCACCTGTGGACACCACGGGGGCGGGACTGTCTTCTACACCTGTTGAGCCTCACTGTGATGATGAAGAATGTAAGATTTTTTACTGGTTTTTGGAATATGATCGCAGGCTTTTTATGAACTTTGTTTCAAGTTTTAAGTAGGCATACAATATTAATTTAATATTTGTATATCAGAAGAACGTGTGGGTGTAGCAAACTTTCACTTTGTCCGACACATCGGGCGGGCGGCGCCGCAGCGGCCGTGGTGGGGACTGCCCCGCTGCAGCCTGGCCCGGTGGGGAGTGAGAACTGCCTAAACACAGCATGACATCTTATACCGTCTCTTTCTTGTTTACGCTGCAGCGTCTACATCCAGGCATCACGCAGCAGCAGAAGCACATTTACTGGGCTACAGTCTCAGCATCTAGAACCAGGTGAGTGAGTTACTTGTTAGGCTATTTGTAATCAGCAGTAGAAACTGACTTTTTCAAATTAAACGGCTTATCACATGTATCGATATGCAAAATTAATTTATTTAAATCCACACCAGACACGTGTTTTTGGCACAATCAGTGCAGCATTGATTTAGCATTGAGAATATTAAATAATCTGAACATACATATCTGAAATTGTCTCCTTACTTAAGGATGTCATTGTCAATTAGGCTGTAAATTTGTAAAAAAGGATGGACATTAGTTTTCGTGACATTAGTTGGCGTTTCCTTGTTTAATAAATGAAATCCTGCAGAGTGCCTCGGATCACCGGTTCTTCTTCCTCATATTCTACAATTTATTTGATGCTGAAGAGCACCTGAGAGTGAGACATAATTTATTTCATATATTCCCCATGGATGCACTCACTTTCACCTGTTTTTGGTAATTGCATTCATGTTTTCATAGAACAGATAAAAAAGATAAATAAAATAAAAAGTCCAGTATCATTAAAAATAATGAAAAGCATCACTGCACATGACTGAGGAAGTAAAATACTGAATGTGAAAGTGGCACTGTTCTTAAGTAATTCATGCATCAGAAGGTTTAAGTTGCTTTGTGTGTGTGTGTGTGTGTGTGTGTGTTTTCTTTTTCTCACAGAATTTTACGGCCCCCAGCTCGTCTAGGAGATGATGGTGTTTGAGGGCGTAAAGAAAAATGTGTGTAAACAGGACAACCAAAGGTTACTCTCTTGAAGGAGGTTTATTAACTAAAAGTGCTGCTGAAATGAGCAGGAAACAAATACTAGGACACCAAACACAAAGATCTTCCAAATACTGGGTAATTAACAATAAATACTAATAAACAAACGATCATCCACTCTGGGTATATTTTACTAAACACAAAACGCCGGGACCAAACCGGGAAAAGGGAAAGACTAGGATGAACGCAAGAGGCTCCACCAAAGGGGTGAGCTGAACTCTTTAACGAGTAAACTAAATAGAAACGTAAACGAGCTCTATTCGAGGAAGAATAACTAGACCACACAGGTTACACAACAAGACTTAGTAAGTCAGCTCTAGGAGGGAAAAGAGGATCACCAGCTTTAACGCTCAGGCCTCTGCTAAGCTTCCCTCCTCGAATGACAGAGGGAGCTGCCTTTTAAAGGAAGCTCCCTGATTGAGGGATTAGCAACACCTGGCTCAGCTGGAGCCAGGAGAACAGGAGGAGCACCGAGGCCATCTTGTGGCCACAAAACAGACAGCGTCTGTAACACCCTCCCCCTCAAAACAACAACTAAAATCTTTTTTTTTTTTTTTGTTGTTGCCACTGAAACAAGAGCGCTCCCACTAACTAACTAGACAAAACAGCTAACTAACTAACTAAAATCCCTGGATCTCGGAAGGCGGGCTGATTAAACACATAAAATCGCGCTGCGCTGATCCTCAGCGCTGCGGAGTGTTCCCGAGATGGTAGCTTTCGCTACCAACACTAGCCTTAAAGGGAGATCCTTACAGCTAAACCAAAAACAAAATCTATTAGGGAGCCTCAATCCGCGTGGCATCGGGATAGCGCGTCGGCCATCATGTTGTCTGCTCCTTTCTTGTGGCGGACCTCAATGTTGAACTCCTGGAGGAGGAGAGCCCATCTCATTAGGCGTTGATTTGAGTTGAACATGCGGTGGAGGAAGGTCAGCGGGTTGTGATCTGAGAAAACAACAGTGGTGAAATGGCTGCAGACATACACATGAAAATGTTGTAGGGACCAAATTAAAGCCAGAGTTTCCTTTTCTATAGTAGAGTAGTTGCGTTGTGATTGGTTGAACTTCCTGGAGAAATAGCAGACGGGGTGATCAAGTCCGTTAGCATCCTCTTGGAGGAGAACAGCTCCTGCTCCGGCGTCAGAGGCGTCAACCTCGATTTTAAAGGGCCGGACAGATCAGGAGCAGCCAGGATCGGTGCGCAACAAAGCAGGTTTCTGAGAGAAAGGAAAGCCTGGTGACAGTCTGGGGTCCAGGAAAAGGGAATGTTAGTGGACAGCATGTCGGTTAATGGTTTAGCGACAGTTGAAAAGTTTCTACAGAAACATCTATAATATCCCGTCATTCCCAGGAACCGACGCAGTTCCCTCCGAGTGGTAGGGGGAGGAAAAGAAACTATGGCCTGGATTTTGTCAGCACTGTCAACACAATCTTCGACGCGAGGCAGAGGAAACGAGTCAGGAACCGTTTTTGCTTTTAATTTTCTGTAGTCTGTAACAAACCGGTAGGTTCCATCAGGCTTATTTTCCAATAAGCAGGGCGAGCTCCAGGAGCTGGAGCTGGTTTTGGCTAAGCCGTGTTCCAAGAGGTAGTTTACCTCAGCTTTCATCAAGTCTCTTTTCAGTGGGCTAGCCCTGTAAGGATGCAAACGAACAGGGACGGAATCAGTCAGAGTTATATCATGGGTTATGAGATGAGTTTGGCTGGGAACATCAGAAAACAGTTCAGGGAAGGAATGAATCAGTAGCGAGAGCTCCCTCTGTTGGGGCGAGGCGAGATGACCCAAACTGGAGGTTAGGTTAGCGAGCGCTTCTGAATTACAGAGGCGTGGAGTAATCGGAGGACTTGGACTCCACGGCACAGGATCATCTGAGGAAACCTCAGATTTCTGAGAAGCGACTTCGGTAGAGGCAAGACAAGGCTGAATCACCGGGTTTCGAACACGAAATAGTTTTAATCTATTTATGTGACAGACCATGGTTTTCATTCTCAAAAGGGGAGTTTTAATCACATAGTTACACTCATTCAGTTTGGAGTGAATGACAAATGGGCCCTCGAACTTCGGAGCTAATGAAGATCCAACAACAGGACTTAGAAGCAAGACCTGGTCCCCTGGTTGCAAGGTTCTGGGTACAGCCTTTCTATCAAAGGTTCTTTTCATCTTTAGTTTTGCGTCTTCGAGGTGCTGTTGAGCAAAGAGATTTGCTTCTCTCAGTCTCTTTTTAAAGGTTTCCACATATAGTGGAACATTGGTCCCGGTTTGAGGAACGGGCCACAAAAACTTTTCTTTTAGAGCCTTTAGGGGCCCCCGAGGAGTGTGACCGAACACGAGCTGATGTGGACTGAAACCGGTGGACTCCTGAACAGCGTCTCTGGCGGCAAACAGAACAAAAGGAAGACCATCTTCCCAAGATCGTCCAGTGGAGAGGCAGTATTTTCTCAACATACTTTTTAGAGTCTGATGCCACCGTTCAACAACTCCCTGACTTTCAGGGTGATAACTAGAAGATTTCAGGTGTTGTATATTTAGGGTCTTAGCCACCTGAGCAAAAATGCGTGAGGTAAAGTTGGTACCTTGATCGGACTGAATGATTTTAGGTAAACCAAATACAGAGAAGAAACCGGTCAGCGCTTTAATTACATTAGCTGTAGTAATGGAGGACAGAGGCACGGCTTCAGGAAAGCGGGTAGCAGAACAGATTATGGTTAATAGATATTTCTTTCCGGTTCGGGAGGGAGGAAGAGGTCCCACACAATCAATAACAATGTGGTCAAAAGGAGTGCTAATGACAGGAGTAGGATGTAACGGAGCAGGCCGAATGGTCTGATTCGGGTTCCCTACTTTTTGACAGGTCGGGCAGCTTTTACAAAAGCCTGAGACGTCTTTCTTTAAACCAGGCCAAAAGAAATGGCGCAATATAGCGTCGTAGGTTTTGTTTATGCCTAAGTGGCCGGACCACTCACATTCATGTGCTAACGCCAAAATGGGAGAGCGGAACTTTTCAGGCACAACTATCTGCTTTGTTTTTCCCCATTCGGCACCTTCAGCAGAAGGCCGGTCCCAATATCGGAGCAGAACCTCATTTTCTATTATGTAGCTAGCTTTCCCTATTGAGGGCTTAGCATCACCAGCAGCGAGTGAAAAATAAGGCTGGAGAGTTTTGTCCATTTTCTGAGCTGCTACCAAAGCATCATAGCTTATAGGGAAGTTTACAGCAACCTGGGGCGTCATAACAGCAGTGGTATCTGCAATGGAGTTGTCGTCTAACAGGAAAGGATGTAACACAGAACCACGGAGAGTTATCTCCGGATCCTTTTTAGCTTGAGCTCTAGTTAGCACACAAGCAGGCAGAGGGCCTTCATCATCATGAACTTCGGGTTCTAAAATGAGTTCAGGCAGAGGTACGACCAAACCTCCAGCAGCATCATTTCCTAAAATCAAATCAACTCCCTTTGTAGGGAGTTCGTCCAACACCCCAACCAGAAAATCACCCGAGACTAAGGGACAGGTCAGTTTAATGTGGTGCATTTCGGCCGAGACAGCTCCCATCTCGATACCTTGTAGCATCACCGAGTAGCCGGCTTGGCTATTTTCAGAAAACGGCAGCAAGCTTCTTTTTATTAAAGTCAGGGAAGCTCCTGTATCTCTCAAAATAACAACTTTTGAGTCAGATTCAGAACCCGGAAGAGAGACAAAACCCTCTGAAAGGAATGGCTTAAAACAGGGACTGGGCTTTTCAGCGTTAGTTTTGTCACAGCAAGCTATTTCAGTTCGGTCCTTATTTGGGGAACTTCCGGTTCTACGGTTCTTCAGTTTCAAGGAATAACAATCACGGATGACGTGGCCACGTTTATGGCAGTAAAAACACTCTGGTTTTTCAGAATTTGAGGGCGGAGTTACTCTTACATTAGGTCTGAATGCACAGTTCGCGTCAGTACGAATCTCACTGACCCGGTGAGTGAGGGAGAACTCATCGGCGAGGAGAGCAGCGTCAGAGAAAGAATTCACTTTCTGTTCGTTCAAATAAAGAACCAGTTTTTCAGGCAGATGTCGTTTGAACTCTTCTATTAAAATGAGCTCCTTTAGATCAGACAATGAGGAAATATGCGAAGCAGAACACCATTTCTCAAACAACACAGACTTTAAATGGGCATACTCAACATACGACTGATTTACCTGTGGTTTTTCGAATCTGAAGCGTTGTCTGTAGGCTTCAGGAACTAGTTCATAAGCCGTGAGCACTGTTGACTTCACCTTGTCGTAATCTGCTCCGTCTGTTGGAGACAGAGCTGACACCACCTGAAGGGCCTTACCTGTTAACCTGCAAGTCAAGAGGAGAGGCCAGACCTCGCGAGGCCACTGCAGCGTCGCAGCGATCCGCTCAAAGGCAAGGAAGTAGCCGTCCACTTCTGTCTCCCGGAACTGGGGCAGCAGCGTGATGCATTTACTGACATCAAACGGTGTCGTTCGTAACGGCGAACTGGCGGGTGTCACTGGATCTGGGCGAAACCCCGCATGGGAGGCAGACGAGTCATCAGGTTCCTGGGATGAAGTCGAAGCCGCGTCAGGAACGGGCTTTTTGTTGCGTAGCTCGATCTCGAGCATCTTAAGCTGAGTTTCAGCGTCCAGTCTTTTTAAATCCAGTTCGTGGCGTAACCGCCGTTCGAGAGCGCGTTCATCAGCCTCAAAGCGCAGGC